GCTCCTAACAATCTTTTTAAATGTATATAATACTAAGCTGGCTAAGGGAAAGCATGTGACACGTTTATTGCGTGCGTTTAAAACTCTAGATATAGAACGTAGATATATTTTTAGACTGGATTGTCTGCCTGTCCTTTTGTCTGTCTGTCTGTTTTTTGTCTGTCTTTCCGTCTGTCTAATTGTCTAAATGCTTTTGTCCACCTGAGGTCCTTTTGGCAATGCTGCAGCGTAGATTTATTTCAGTGACATGCAATTTGACTCCTGTTTGAATAGTAGCGAAGCTTTCCTCTGACTCTCGTTTTTTCCGTCTGAATTGCACCAACAGGAATAACTTATGTCTTTACGGCCACTGCACTTCAACGTTATTTTACTTCACGCTACTCTTCTCACTAGGCCTTCTCCTCCAGTTATTCATCTTTCTGGAGGAAGGCGTTAGGTTGAATAACTTTTTGTATATAACACTTTATCCCTGTATGTTCCTGTATGTCCCTGCATGTCGCTGTATGTCTCTGTATGACCTTGTATGTAATTTCCTTCCACTCCCTGTTTTTTTCCTTTATCAGACTAATAATAGCTAAGATACAGACTTAGGCCCTTTTGACTTTCCTACTGCGCAATATTTTTCTATTCAGCGGTAATATACATCACGTTTTCTACATAAAGTCGTTATCCTCGTTTAAATCTTACTAGTAATAATAGAGATACACGTTTACGTCCTTTTGACATTGCTACTGCGCAGGATTTTTCTCTTAAACGTTAATCTATACCACGTTTTCTACATAATGTTTTTCTCGTTTAAATCTGACTAATAATAGCCGAGATACACACTAAGGTCCTTTTTAACTAAGACATTGCGCATGATTTTTTTATTCATTATTCATCTATACCTTGTTCTCTACATAATGCCGTTTTCTTCGTTTAAATCTAACCAATTGTAGCCGAGATACGCGCTTAGATCCTTTTGTCATTGTCATTGCGCAAGATTTTTCTCTTTAAGGACAGCGTCTCCTAGGAATTTCTGAACAAAATTATGTCAATTTAGATTCAATCAAGGAGGTGCTGTTACCTACCGACTAGAGATTGAATTAGTGCAAATTATTACAGAAATCTTTAAGTAACTATAAATATCGACCGTCTAGCTATTAGGGGATATTGTACTATATTGTATTATAAACCGGTTTTTAGTAGACTGAGTTCGAAAGATCATAATAATAGTCTTGAACATAAAATCTATTTTTCAATAATTGCCGGGATTTTACCAAATAAAAAAAAATTATTTCGCGATTGTGAAAACGGTCCAATCGTTTTATATGCCATTTATAATATTTTAAAAATGTTTACCCTAGGACTCATTTTGGAGTATGAGCATACTTTATTTCAATACTTTTATTGTACTGTTTCATAAAGTATTACCTACCTATTACATTTTATTTTTATCGAAAATTGACTTTGTTTCCTGGACCAAAGTAAAGAATGAGGTAGGTATGCAGATGGTAACAACAAAAACGATATCTTGCCTCACATTAAATATAAATATTTCCTAAAACAAATAATTTGGTTTATATACGGGTAGTAATACGAGGGATGTTTATAATTTCAAGTCACGAATATAGAGTCGTTTCAAAATATATTGCCACAATAATTGCGTCACATTGAGTCGGAGTGGGACGCTTGACGTGTCGCAATTCGCAATATATTTTAAAACTATTCTACCTAATTAATAAATTGTGATTTTGAAGTATCGAATGAAAACTATATTCTCATTGGTTAAAGATGGAAGTTTTTGTCATTTGAATGTTCAAGAATATTAATTGTGATTAATTGGTTAAATACCGAAGTTATCTGTTATCTGATGTTGATACTAACCTAATGTTTTTTGGTAATTTTGACTGTCATTTCCTGGAATTTCCAGGCCCGCACAAATATTTATCCTATTAAAGTACAAAAACCCTACAATAGATATTATGAGTAGGTATTTAACATTCATTTATCTTATCTTATCTTAGGTAGTTATTTTCTAGAAACATTTCCCTGATTGTCAATAACACATTACCGTATATCTGTGCCAATATGACGTCACGACTTTTAATATACTTAATGAAGGCTGGGGGAAGGAGTTAAGAGTCTATAAATTTACAAACAAGCTTACGGGTATTTAGTTTTCAAAATTACATCACACGTTCTTGAAGTGTTTTATTGTGCTGTTTGTTTTTAATAAGTGTTATTTTCTTTAATAGAAAATTGATTTATTTGTGCCAAGTGTCCTAGTGAGTTTCATTGTACATTTTAATCAGTTTTATTTTTGGATAAATTGACATCGACTTCCTGCATTAAAGGTAGGTAGTATTTTTTTTCTCACTCTCGAGTTCGTCATTGAATAAAAAAATTAAACGCTATAATTTTAACATTCAAATATTTGCAATTAAAAAATAATATAACGTATTAAATTTGACAATAAAAAAACTTGTTATTTAATAATAATGTTTCATTATTCTGAATATATTTTTTCTACGATCAATATCCAAAGTAGGTAGGCTTTTGCACATTAAAATCTAAATAAAAAGTTTTCATTTAAAAGAAAACCATAACTACTTTTACCAGGTGAAAATTTTCAATACGTTAAAATAATTCATGATTTTTAAGAAATGTGCTAGAAATGATACTACAATATTAATATTCTTTTTATGTTTGATTTTCTAATAATGATTTTATATACTTTTAGATTCAAGGACAGCTAGGTATAGCTCAAAAAAAATTGTGCTACTTTGTAGTATATACTGGAGATGAAAATCCACTATTTGTTGAAAAAATTCATTTTCAACCCATTTTTTTTAAAATATGGTTGAAAAATTTTACTCGGAATATATGGCACCTGAGATAATTTTAAATAGAAGAGGACGAGGATTAAAATGTCTGGATACCCCATATAATGAAACTTAAAGTGCAAAGATTAGCAAATTTATAAAAATAATAATTTAATGGACTTTAATGATACAAGTACTTGAAATAATGGTTTTTTTGCGCAGAAGCATGTTCATACGTAATTTGCAATTGGTAGTCACTAATCACAGATGGAAAAGTATATACGTCAACGATATGTTCTCTTATTTTTGATTTATTTTAACAAGTATAATATATGGTATGTTACTTATAGTATAGATTTTTTTATTTCTCGACCTAATTTATTTGTTACGTCTTCAGCAATTGTCGCTTTCAGTTGACATAAACGAAATTGATAAAAAGTGTTTTTCGCATTTTATTTTGACTGTTTCTCTTACTTTCGAATAGAAACTGAGCTTTGTAAACATAAAATGACGGATATGTCAAACTAAAACTGACGGTAAAATGAAACATTGTATCGTTAAATGCAACTTTTGAACTAGTTTCAAAAATAGCATTAAAATGATATTATCATTCAGAATGTACTAATTTCCTATACTTTTAGTTGATAAATAACCGATAATCATTCATCATATAACAAATAGGCGCGTGTCAAAAGGTCACCGGCGAAAAAAGAGTGCCGATGAAAAAAGGTCGTTTCCAATTTCATAAATCCAATCATATAAACAGTATCAGAGGCAGTATTATCATCTCGTATATCCCCCGTAAACACACATAATATAAACGGAAATAATCAAATACTAGTCAAAATATTATCGATCGGAGCACCATCTTTATTACATTACATGAAGTAATTATTGATTTTTCGGGGTTTATTTAGAGTTAAATTAGACGCCATTTTTGGTCCAAATTCGTTTTGACATGTTTTTTCAAAGAAAGTGACTTATAAATTTCAAATCTACACGTTTTGAAAAATATACAATATTTAAATATTCTGAGTGTACCAAATTCCAAGTAAAGGTTGAACTTAGGTCGTATTACATTTTTTTTTTATTATTTGTTTGACATCGAGGTTAAAATAATTCTACACGGCACCTTTGAGATGAAATAAAAGGGGGTTATTTTACATGATTGGTTTTTATTGAAAATAATAAATTTATTAATTTTCAATAGTAAGGTGACCTAAGTTAGACCTTTATTTTTAATTTGGCCAAAAATTAGATTTTTAAACACTACATATTCGGAAAACTGTCGATTTAACTTTTGGTCTACACATACACTTTTAATACACAGGGATACCCCGTCCTTAACGTTAATCTATATCATGTTCTCTACATAATGCCGTTTTTTTGTTTAAATCTGACCAATAATAGCAGAGATATACGCTTTGGTCCTTTTGGCATTATTACTGCTCAGGATTTTTCTATTTAACGATAATCTATATACGTTAACGTAAACGATGGCCGCCATCTTGGATCGCTTACCACTAAGCCGAGTTTTAGTTATCCACCACTAACTGGTGGCACCATCTAGCGGCGACTTTGGAAGTACTGCGTCCTTACGAACGTTGTCTATCTACTTTTGTTATTAAAAAATTTCAATTAAGTCCTCAAGGAAGTTCTGGGACCACTTACTTTTTTGTTATTCTTAAATTATCTACCTGAGTACATAAGGTCTAAAATGATAGTACTTTATGCCAAAGACATCATATTATCTAAGATAGACTGACTCGCCCTTCACACTGTTTAACCAATACTGATTTAGTCCGCATCATATACCAGACGGTAAAAGAGGTATCGTACGTCGCACATAGACGTAGTGTAGTGTTCCAGGAGAGTTTTTTAAATTTTATAAAAAAATGTTTATTTATCAAACCTTATTAACATATAGACGTTCGATAGGTCTTCTAAATCAAAGATAAATTTAAAGAAACAATTTTCAATATTCAAATACCAATAGATATATTGACAAAGAAGCTTTGACATCCGAACCCAATCATTTTGGATATTGATTAAACCTCTATTGTACCTATTTAGCATATGTTTGATTGTTATTATATTAATTTCGTATCAACAATCGTCTCTTAATATTTTATTGACAGAAAGGAAAGCAAAAAAACTAGTATGCCGAAATTTTGATATAAAAAAATAAACACTCACCTATAATAGTCGATAAGATGATGAACCCCAACAATATGGCTGTCACTATCATGGACACCAGCTGCACCGTGGCATTGTCAACTTCTATTGTCCTGTTGTCCTTCACAAATCCGTTATCACTACCGTTCCCAGAAACGTAGCCGAGAATGTTTTCCAGACTTTCGAAATAACGACTGGAGTTTTCGTTAAAAACTATGGGATGCCACAAATCGTCCGAGTCGATAGTAGTTATGGGTTTTAAAATAGTTAGAGCCAACTCGACGGGTGCAGAAATAGACGCGTTGGATAAAGAACTACCGTTGATGTAAATAGGAACTGAAGGAATGGCCATGAAAGGAATTGATTGGTCTTTTATAAGCATTATATACAGGACACACGATTTGTTACTTAATTACATTAGGGGGAAGTTTTAGTGGTTGGTTTATTTCACTTAGTCTTTTGTTTTCGGAACATTATTTTTATTGGAGGGTCCGCTGTTGGTGGAGATTTGTGGTTATTAAGCGATTTTTAGAATGGTCAGTTACTTAGTATTGCTTTTTCTTCACACATAGGGCGGCGAAATTGTCCATTTGGGTACCTGTAAATGAAAAGGGTATTTTATTAAATTATTTTGCAGTAAGAATAAAATTTTGTAAAGGAGACAATAATCATCTCCTCTAAATAGTTTAAAATAAAGTCGTTGTCGCTTAATAAAGTCGTTGTCGCTTACTCCTAAACCATGCAACAGATTTCAATTCGGTTTTTACTAATATAAAGAGCGATATTCAATTAAGGTTTGTATGTATAATTTGGAAATATGTTTTACAAAATAGCAGAACTATGACGGTGGTTTGTAAAAAAAAAACTGTTTCCGTATGCTAACATGGCTAACACTGGCCAAGTCTTAAGAGATACATCAAAACAATGTACTACTCGTAGAAAATTGTAGGTCTTACAAACCCCTATAGAAAAGTCCGTTGGAGCATATATTTATCTCCTAAGGTATACTCACAATAACTATTTTAATAACTAACTTAATGAAATTTTGGGTTATTACCTACTATAGGAATTCTCCTCCTTTTTATTGTGGTATTCCCTAATTAAAATAGTAACTGTTCCTAGCTATTCCTAAGTGTTAACACGTGGGAACTGTGTTACAGGTTGTATTCCCAAATAATATCGTCAATTTTGTTATTTACATGTTATTGAAATAGTTTATATACCTAGTACCTATTTTGAAGATATGGTGGTGGGATATTAGCCAAATCGAATGTCAGTCACAAACCCAGAAAACATAGCGATAGCAGGCATATCGTAGTTGCCACATGTTGACTGTGAAAGCAAAGCTATGCCTAATACTAAATAATAAATGTCTTGTTCAACATTCTTTCTAGAGTGAGCTATGGAGACGGATCAGTAATGGTGTGGGGAGGAATATCTTTTCATGCACGTACGAATTTGGTACTTTTTCAAAATAGAGCTCCCACTGCTGGAAGGTATATAGAGACAGTTTTAGAACCACATTTTTTGCCATAGGCCCGTTTTATTGGAGACAATTTTCTGTTAATGCACGATAATGCAAAGCCCCACATTGCTAGAATTGTGCAGGAGTATATGGAAGAGGTAGGAATTGATACCACGGCATGGCCAGCTAGAAGCCCTGATCTCAACACCATCGAACACATGGGCAGAATAATTTTAACCCGTCAAAACTATCTGATTAACTTGGATGACCCTCGAACTACCCTGCTTGAGATATGGGATAAAATACCACAAAATATCATTAGGAATAATATTCTTAGCATGTCAAGGAGACGTCAAGATTTTATTCGTGCACGTAGTAAAATACGAGGTACTGAAAACAAAAATTAGTGGGAAATTAAATTTAATGTTATTTAAAGTTATTAAGGATGAATATACTTTATTATACGTATTTACTTTCATTTAAAAAAAAATGTGTTTTGGTTTTTTGGCGATTTTTTTGAAATTTGTAACGGTTGGAACCGTTATTTCGTTATTTCGGACACAATCACCTCTTATTCAAATGTCATTTGTCGTCTATGCTGAGTGTCAGAGGAAGTTACATTTTTTATCTGACCGTGAGTTCGAGTAGAAACTCAGGTTGCTCTGAGTTCTTTTTCGCGTTTTTATAGAGATTCGGAGTGTGATCTGTCGCGTTCGATATGACTCTAAGTATTGCACTCTTTTGACTCTGTGTTAGAAGATCGAGATCTGTCGGGAAGTTAAATAATAAAATGTCAATTATGTCAATGAACGGCACATATTATTGTGGGTTTGTGCTAGGTAATATTTGTATTTTAAAATTATGTAACTCACTTAGAGTATTATAAGTAAACTCTAAAAGTTTATTGTATGTTATTCTATTGTAATGCATAATAATTAACTAATCGTTGACTGACATGCTGGATTGAGGTTATGTTTTTAACTCTGAGTGACAGAGCGCGTTCGATATGTTACTACATTCGCGCTCTGACTTGACAGGACTCTGCTCATGCCCTGCTCACTGCATAAGGCGTCATCTCGAACTTGCCCTGAATAGATCGAATAGATCACTTTTATTTTAATTTATTTTGGTCATACGAAATATTAATTCATATTTACTTACGTTAATGAACGTCTGATTTTACAGGCCCATGAAAATCCCTAGATCGTTTGGGTTAGAATACAATAAGAATAATTTATCTTGAAGATCGTTCAGATTTGATTATAAATGAGAATAATTTATCTTGAAGATCATTTACGGTTCAATCATGAATAATAGTCTCGAATGGGCCTTATGAAATAGAATCCCAAATCACTTGGTGGAAGTTGCCTGACCAGTATATAATGTTTATGGATTGATGTACCTCTGCAGTTTGGAACAAACGATGAAATACCTGAGTTTACCTTTAACTTACCATACCATTTAACACTTTATTTACCACACAGATAAGTGCAATTCATTTAATCAATAAATTGTTTTAAATTTGAATTATGTGCAAACTTATGTGAATTAGAATTTGATACCTACCTTATCTAAAGCATGTTTTAAGTATAATTTATTAGTGGTTAGTGATTTTCTATATTTTTATCACTAATGTAGAGTTAAGTGTATAAGCTTTAAATATAGTGGTACCCAACTTCTTTTTCAAAGTTATTAGAGTTCTTTAATAACCTTACCCACGCTCTATAAATTGAGCTCAAACACATATATCAAAGTAGATAAAATAACCAATTATTCATGTTAAAAATTATGCGATACTTTGGCTGCAAAGTGTATTCTTGTTATTTTTTGGCTTTAATAATATATATATATATATATATATATATATATATATATATATATATATATATATATATATCAATTTATTTTTTGATTTTGCGGTTAGTAAGAAACAATGGCCAAGCTAGCTTAGTATTTAAGCTACAACGGCCAGTGCTGTATTTCTGTTTCAAGGAGATATATCAGAATCGGGTTTGCGGTTATCTCTTTGCTATTTTTTGCTTTACAAATTATTATTTATTTATTTTTTGCTCCTGCTGTTCGTTAAAACATTGGCTAGTACTTATGCTGGAATGGCCAGTGCTATATTTTTGTTTCTATAAGGTATATTTTTTCTAATTTTTTTGCTTTAGAAATATGTAACCATTTATTTTTTTGCTCCTGTGATTCGTAAGAAACATTGGCTATGCTAGCTTGATACTTAAACTAGAATGACCAGTGCTGTATTTCTGTTTATATGAGATATATCAGAATCGGGTTTGCGACATATTTTTTACTAGGCTACCTATACTACCTCGTGTGTATGCAGGAATTTATGCTGAAGACAGGGCAACACTATTTGATTATATTATGTGTACACTTACTTTAATAGAATGGGACTTAGAAAAACACAAATAGAGACGTGAGCTCCCCTTTGTCCCCCTGTATACGCTTATGTATTCGCAATAGAATTAACTTCATTTTTATGTCAAATATTAGGAAAAATTACTTATAATATATTGTTTGTATCTGCCAACCGCTATTTTCGCATTTTATTTACATTCTAAACTCTCGATTAGTATTACAATTTTCGAGAGAAATTATTGCCGTACCTATTGATTAAAATTAAATCAAATAATGTTTAATTAAAAACCAACCCTATCACGTTGTGTTTATTTAAACATTATATAAATATAAATATATATTTAATTAGGAAAAAGGATAAGGGAAGGTTGATTTAAGTCGGGATCCTCTACTATAGGGATACCGGATATATGACCGGTTTTTCAACGAAATTTGGGAATTAAATACGGTTTTCTGAACCTAGGCTGATATTGCGGGCATTTTTACTTCTGCGAAAGGGTTAATATTATGCAAAAAACGATTTTGAAACCAGTTAAAGAGTTGCTTGTTTTTAAAATAGATGTAGAAATAAAAAGAAAGTCGAAAAGAGAATTGGTTTGGAAATGGAAATGAAAATGGAAATTATTGCTCTTGTGTATATTTTATTCAGTAGTTTGTCTCCATTTACCAAAATTAGACTAATTTGACATTTTATATTAAAAATCCATTATGAATAAAACAATAAATGGGGTAAACCACCAAATAAAAAATGCTCGGAAGGACAAAACCCTTAATTGAAAGTTATACAAACATTTTGATATCTATTGATGTAGCGATGCAGATTATGGAGTGTGGATGATTCGGAAACTAAAAGTTCACGAACTGGTGTGGTTGCAAAATTTTCTGGATGTGCTATAACGTGAATTACTCAGAAGTAGAAAATTGTTATGGCTTTATAGGTTTTTTTAGAAGAAATCGAAGGAGGTTCTTCAAATATTCGACTAACTCTGTACATAGATGAGGCTAGTACAATAAAGTTACCGATATTTTCATAAACGCTCGAAACAAATAGGGATCAGATATCACTTTATTAGAGAAAATTACCAGTAGAGTATTATGGACATTCAACATAGCAGTTTAAACAATATTGCTGTAATGACAAAGGCCATTCCTCTGAGAAGATTTTTTGAAATAAGCAAAATGTTAAGGCTAGTTACCGTTACATTATAAAATGATCTAATGGTAATTATTATTTTAAACATACAGTATATGAAAGGAACCTTGTCAGTTTTGAAATTAAAAATCACTCAAGTTTTTCTGATATATTTTCTCTGTGATTATTTAATAAAAACTTCGTGTTTCCGGTTAAAATTCTTCATTAGCTTCTCCAATCATTACCATCAAAACTCAACACTGGTTAACGTATGTCCATTTCGTTATAAAGTTCTGAGTAAAAAAATTAAAACCAGCGCCATAAAATGCAGACTGATTGTAACTTTTTAAATGTGCTGTTATGTTTCTGGTTTTTTTTTAAAGTCAACGTCAAATTTTAAATT